GCAAATAAGCAGTCATATTGATCTGAGCAGTCATATTAGTCATAGTTCTGTTTTACAAAATTACATACAGCAAGTAATTTTATACTAACAATTGGAATGAGAAATTACATCCAATGTTATGTCTTTAGATTAATAAGGTAACAGAAAAGCATTTTCAAACCTTTATACATAATAGATAGGTATATGATTATTGACCAAAATAACAAATAATATATTCCTTATAACTTTTATATATTTGAAAATAATGTTCATAAGCTGTAAGGAACATAAAGAACTAATTAAAGATTTTCATTTTCTGCTGAGGTGGTGGTTTCCATTCAAAATTGAACAAAAATTCTTTCAATGTTTAATACTTACAAGCAGTTTTGTTTATCTCTTTCTTTATGCAATTTCTAATTTGATAAAATAAAATCTTTTGCACACAATCAATTGAGGAAAAAACCCATAACAAGACACACATTACAAAATCACTAGTAAAACCTTGTTCTCTGTAATTCAAAAAGTTTCATGGAAGAAGGATTAATAAAACTGTTCCTTATTTTTCTATTCACACCATGGGTCAAAGTTAATTAAAGAAAAAGTGTTTCTCTCTCACTCTTTAACTTCTAAAGGATTGGCTAGCTAAATAAAATCATTTATAAAAATATAAGTACTTCATTCTTTGTGGATTAAAAATCAAATATTCAACTTGGCATTTGCTCAACTAACAGTGAAACAAGTGAGTCAGTGTTGGTTTCTGAAAGATTTCTCTGTGAACTTGGCTACTAATAATATCCTGGTCGTCTTTAAGCCAGTTCACTTCTTTGCATTTTGCTATACAACATGTGGTTGGTCATCAAGGGTGAGTAAATTTTCTGTTAATAATTATCAACTTTTAATATGGTTGCTTTTCTTTTTTTCAATATTTGATTTGGTTTTATGTTAATAGCTAAAATTATGAATATGACAAGATTCTAAGTTGTGTGATGAAATTATCTTCATTTTTCATAACTCATGATTACTTTCTTATTTTTAAATCAATAAGTTTTTCAGATTACAACTGCTTATTGCTGCATTTTAAGATCTCTTTCAATTTTCCTATTCTATAGTCACTATAAGAAATAAATGATAATTTATAAATTAAACAACAAACAAGAACATTTAAATTTTTAATTAATCATAATGCATTTTATATTTTAATACAAACCTTAGAAAAATGATGTACTTATATTTTTATAGTAATTTTTATTCATATATTATATTACACTTTATCACAGAGAAAATTGTCCTGTATGCAGGATAATTTTCTCTGTGATAAAATAAATTGTAATAAGTTTTACAATTTATGATGAGTAAATATAGTTTTACTTAATAAAAATATTTCCTAACCTTTACATACTTGAAACTGAATTTTAAAAGATTTTAAAACTTTATAAATTATTCTAATTAAAATTTAAGAAAATGAAAACAAATCTTGTAAAATTTCATTATTCATTGGACATTTTTTTCTTAAGACAATAGTGTCCTTAATATATCGTACTCATAAAAGCAATTAAATGCTTTAAATAATGTCATAGTTTTATTGCATTTTTTATTTTATGATTCAGAACAGATTTTCCATAAAAAAAAAAAAAAATTGATGATTTAAATTCTCCAAGGAGTTTTGTTTTTAACTAATATAGTCATTAAAAATTAGCATATTGAATTTCTTGTGTTTTCATAAAATTAAGTCGGGTGAAACACATGTAAAAAAAAAAAAAATATATAGTTTTACTAAGCTTTTCTAAAAGAAAACATTTCTAGAATAATTCATTTGTGAATAAGTCCTTTCATTAAAATCCAACAATTATTTATTGCAAGAATTTCCAAATTAATGTCTTTCACCACAAAAAAATGCTAAAATTTGCTATGCTACATTATAGTCCATCCTTTGGTACAAGAAAAACAAGATTTTTAACCAAAATTTTGAGTGTTTTAAAAAGGATTAAAAAATATAATTAAACAATCAAAAAATACTTTGGTCTTTCTTCTTAATAATAACAAAGATTTTGACAATAAAACTTAGTTTTTATCAAGTTTGGGGCATTTTTTCATCAAATTAGTGGTGGTAACTACTGAAGTTATTTTATAAGTTGAAATTGAAAAAAACGAAATCTTTATTTGTTATTTTTTTTAATTGTGTTTTTTGCATTAAATTATTGTTGGTATATTTAATAGATATTAGAAATACATGCAAGTACTAAACTGATTGTTAGAAAACTTTTTTGTCATTGTTAGTTTTTATTTTTCTTCTTTTGTGTTTATAAAGGACCAATACTGATAGTTAATTGAAAACTAATGTCTTTTCTTCTGCCTTGGTACTATTACTCCTGTGACTTTAACTCAAATCACTTTAAAATATTGTAAACTCTTTTCTGTAGAGTAATGCAAATTTTGACTGTACTTCTTTCAAGATACATTGGATTTCAATTCAATTATATTCAACTTGTTTTCACTATTCTATATATAAAACTTTCATTATTACTTGTGTTCAAATATTTGTTAAAATTTTCTGCATATATATATATATATATATATATATATATATAGTGGCAAAAGCTGCTGGTGCCACCAGGTGTGGCAGTACCGCCTTAATCACTGAGACTATATTACCTCCCCTAGTTGGTGGCTTTCACACATATGTAGAGAATTGTGTGTGTATGTGTGTATATATATATATATATATATACACTCACTCATCAGGCATGAGATATAACTTATGATTTTTAAAAAAATCTTAATATACTGGGTCTCATGGGAGGGATGTTAAATTACACGCAGATTCACTGCTCACATTTAAAATAAGATAAAAATAATATTGGGATCTAAATACAGAAAATAGGATGTAGGTAGGGGTCATTTGAAATAAAAAAAATAAATAAAATAAAAAAATAAAATTTTGAAGCCAGTTTAAAGTTTAAAAGAGAAATACTTGTTGATGTTTTGAGTGGAAATATATGTTGAAATGGTTAAAGGGGTGTAATCAACCCCCCTTAACCATTTCTATGTATATGTTATATCTCCTTCCTGATGAGTTGGTAAAACAATGAAACTTAAGTTATTAATATATATTTCTTAACTCTGTCTAACTACATTGAGCACTGTTATGTTTACACCTTAAAGTAAATTTAGTAAATATTTATTTGCTTACCTGTTTATGCACACTAGCACGTGCATATACAGTTACTAATATCTAGTTATTTGATTTACACACACACACATATTTTCAATGTATGAGGGTCAAGCAGCTCAGTTCCTAGGGACCGACTGCCAGACACCAGCTGATTATCATGATGAAGGTTTTGTGCAGAACCATCTACACTTTTTGAAGGGCCAAATACAGAGACCTGGTGCCACAAGGACCCAAACAACCCCCTGCAGGTTTTTGGATTCAGAATTGTCCTTCTCCTAGACTAGTTGCCATCCATGGCTATAGGACCCGGTGTGTCCTGCTATTTACCCATAGCTGGAGGGAGAAAAGGAGGATTCATACCTTTCCCAAGATTATTAGCACATAAGTGAATGTAATGGATTTGACTGGAATTCAAACACATCTCTCCAATTCCTCAATCCAAGCTGCTATCCATTACTCCACTGTGCCTCCTATATATATATATATATATATATATATATATATATATATATACACAATAATAATATTTGGTATTCCATATGGATAAAGGCAGAGAGAGATCAATATCAAAAACAAACCAAATAATAATTATTATCATGAACATAAAGACTTACAAAACTATGGTGATATTTATTTCATTAGAATTGAAAATTTGATTGCAACTCTTCAAACCAAAAACATTACACACACAAAAAAAGAAAAATGTGTGTAATGTTTTTGGTCTGAAGAGTTGGAATTGAATTTTCATTTCTAATGAAATAAATCTCATCAGGGTCTTGTAAGTTTCTGTGTTCATGATAATAATTTTATATATATATATATATAGAGAGAGAGTTTAATATTTGCTATAGTTATGGAGTAAGAGTGCTTAATATTGGAAATGCCATTTATAAATACACACAATGTATACATATGAATCAACACTCTGTGGTGACTGTAAAGTTCACTTGAGGTGTAAAACTGGCAGAGACTGCAGTGTTGATTTCTATGTACACATTGTGTGTGTGTGTATATATATATATATATATATACACACACACACACATATTTTGATGCCTATTTTATTAATGAATAAATACATATTCACATTCTGACAACACAGCTTGTTGATAACCCATTTTGATTTTAGAAATCAATTGTCTGACATAGCAAAGAAAATCTACAAAATGTTATTTGATAATTTGCTCAGCAGGTGTATTTATCTCTTGCAGTTTTCTGGTGTAATTTCCATTAAATTAAAGTTTGAATTTATTTCAAAAGTATAAGTGATGGTCAAAATATCTACAAAATCAGTGAATCACTTTCTAAATCTATGACAGAAAAAAGTTTTCATTTGTTTTATTAACGTATGGTAAGTTATACACAGTTACAGGAAATTCTGTTTATACTGCACAGCTTTCAATTCATAAATTTGGTTATTATTGTGATACAAATAATAAAATACAATGTATCTTAACAAGAAAATAATTATATGTAATTGAGTGTAATATTTTTCATGTAAGTATTTAAAAAATATTTTAACCTTTTGCACTGTGCATAATTAATATTACTTCCCTTTCCACTGCATTCTTTTTCAAGGCCTCTCAATTGCATTATCCTTATTGTTAATTTCATTCAAAAATGTTACCATAGCAGGATATGTCAATACAGCTACGAAATTCAAACACACCATTTTTTAGGGATCAGAGTCAACTTCAGTAGCAGGATAAATATTTTGTACAGCAAATGAAGTCACATACAGCATAATAAAAGTTGATTTGAAAATTATTTTTTTAGATCTCATATTGAAAAATATATTTTTTAGTAAATTCAAAATTTGACTAACCCCTTTTTTTTTTTTTTTTTTCAGTACACACCCCTCCCCCCAGCACAGTATCTCTCAGGATATGCATTCTCGACTCGAGCTCTATGCAAACAGGTATGGTGTACATAACATTTATTCTATATTTTTCCAGGCAAGATTGTCTTTTATTAGTTAAGTGAAAGTAATTTTATCAAATTCACTTTAAACATGAAAATATGAAATTAATGTACAATTGGAATTAAGAAAAATTTGGTGGATTTACTATTTGGTTATTGTTCTCTCAATAGTACAACATATAACATGACTTTTCTTGCTTTTTTTTTTTTATTTCAGTGAACCACTAATTTCAAAATATCCAATTAATTTAAATATCATAGCAATAACAACAAGAATTTGCTAGACACTCTAAATGTAATAATCTAGAAATAGAAATGCATGTAGTATTTAAAAGCTATTATTCCAGTAGTAGTAGGAGTACTAGGAATAATTAGGAATAATATTGATAGGCATATTAAAAAAATCTTAGGAAATCTATCTGAAATAAAAGAAATGACTGTAATAATGAATATTTATATTTTTCATTATAGATTAGCTGAAGTTGAGCAAAGACAAGGATATTCAACTCCTGATTCGTAAGTATTCTTTTTTTGTTTGATATTCATAGTAAATATTTTCTCATAAGTATTTTTGTAGAAAACTCAATATTTAAAAGTAATAAGTTTACTGATAATAGATAAAGAATTTAAACAACCTCACAAATTGTTGTTTTTCTATAGAAATGCTTGGAAGAGAAAAGACTATATTTAATTGGCTATGGCTTCTATATAGAAAAGTAGTTTACAAAGTTCTGAAAAGTCTGCAGATATATTCTTTTATGAATTGGTGGAAACATATTTTTGTATATGAATCTACTATTAGTAAACAATTTTTTATCTGTTGATATTAACAGATGATAAGACAGTAGGTGGTTATGTGCAGTAAATGATTGGCTGTGGTTAATTATATATTGTTATAGTGCTTAAACAGTAAGAAGATGAACTGATATTGTCTATTTCGGCAAGCAAAAATGACAAACTGAATAATACAATACCATTATTCTGTACATTCCATCATTTTGATTGTACATAATCAACAAGTCTGTAGCCTAATGATGAAAAAGTATCTATTCTACACAAGAAATATTTTTCAACGTAACTTATTTTGTCAGTTGTAAATTACATAGACTGAACATTATACAGTAAGTTAATAACTGCATGCGAGGATTGAACCTCATAAGTAAAAAAAGTTCAATTCTGTAAAAGGTCATTTGTTTTCTCAGAAGTAAAAAAAAAAAAAAAAATCATGAATATCATGAAGATTCGTGCCATACCACTTACATAGTAGCAAAGCACCCACATTCCCTCTATATCCCATTGGTGAGAAGTAAGTTCCACTCAAACAGCTTCTTCTCGCAAACCACTGCTCTGTGGAACTGACTCCCAACAGTATGTTTCCCTGATCACTACAATCTTAACCTATTCAAGGCTAGGATTAACTGTTATCTTCCACTCCTATGCACACGAATAACCCTTAAGTGGCCCTCAGGCCTTTTAAAGAGTGAACCTCACTGTAAAAAAAGAAGATTCTAATAAAACGAATAGATGCATTTCATGTCTAATGTCTTAGTTTCCTTTTGTAGAGTCTTTATGACTCCTAGACTTTGGATTTTATTTCAATGTATCTCTGCTACATTTTTTGCCTTATGTGTGTGGAAAAATGTATGAACGCTTTTTTTGTTTTTTAACACATATGTTTTCATTTACATTAACTGTTAAATATGAAAATCAAACTTTTACAAATTAAGTTAAAAATGAAAGATAAAGTTGTTTTCATTATATTCACAGTTTTTTTATATTTTGCCTTCATATTTCTGAGTTTAACATTAAAAAATAAATATTCATTGGGGTTATATGGCAACTTTCTTTTTAAGGTAGAGAATTAAACAGCTTTTCTTACAGAGAGAAAAGATTATATTTTTCTGAATTTTATTGTATTTATTCAGCTCAAGTATAAGAATACCTCCATCTTTGTAAGTATGTCTTAAAGTAATACATGCCAATGACTTTAGTCTTTATCTCTATGAAACTTGGCTCTTCATCTTCACTGCCAATTAATACACGGTTTAGGGCTTTATTTTATAAATCTTTCTGTTGGCATTATTTCTTTCTCTTCTCTAATAAATATATTAATGCATCACTTCAGCACAATACTACAATTACTGCACACTGTAAGATTTATTTACTTTTACAAATCTCTCACAAAATATCCACTGTATATTTCTATGACGACACATCACTACCATTTCTTTAAAATCAGAACTATGTTTCTTTTACTAGTGTGACATATGTTAGGATGTTCAGACTTTCACACTATCTCTGCAGCATCTACATATTGTGTAATATGTCAATACACAACCATTTCACTTTTTGCTACCTTCGGTCCAGGAAAATTCAAATCCTAAGTATTTTTTTTTCTTTTAATAAGCATTAAATTTACTATTTGAAAACTGAGATTTCATGTTTCTAATTTTAGAATATTTTATATAATTCCAAAGAAAATCTTGTAAAATACTTGAAAAAAATGTCTGCCTTTAGAATGCATTTATTTACTCTCTGATAGGTAAATTAATTTATTCGTTGGTGATTCTGTTCTGCAGATGCTGATATTTAGACAAATTATAACATAAACTACTTTCTTTAAAATTGTTTTGGACGTAGTTGGTTATCACTTAAAGTTTTACTTATCAAATCTCACAAATGTTTTTTGCATTTTTTCTTTTTTAAAGTTTTATTAGATTCTATTTTCAGTAGCATTGTTTCCCAGTTTTGTATTGGGATTCTTGTGTATTTTTGTAATCTATATTTTAAAATTATAATAACATTGTTTTTCTTTATAGTACATGTTCAATTTCAAGATGTCTAAAATTAAATACTGAGTTGTTTTTTTCCTTAACTAAAATCTCTTACCAACTTTCAACATGAATCTTTTCTCTAAGCTGAGTTATTCAACATGAGATTATGTAGTTATTTATACAGTTTAGATGTAGCAGAAGTCCTTTGCTTTCTTTAAGAATTTGTTTTGTTTTTTCTTTTCTCAGTTAAGGATATCAAATATTACTAATTCAGCTCTAATAATAATAATAATTTGTTTGTGGAGGCCTTACTTTTTTGTCACTGAATCATACTGCAAGTCAAACTTTGTCTTTCCATACCAATGCTGTAACCATTGAACCATTATATAATATACATCTTTTATATATATATATATATATATATATATATATATATATATATATATATATATATATATAAACATTTTTTTTTGAAAATTGATTTATTTTTGGAATAAATATTCATTTTCATTATTTCATTAAAATATTTTGGTAATTGTTGAATTTTGTATTTTGCAATAAAACTACAAATTGAGCTCTCAAATTGATGACACTAAGTAAGCATTTTGTCTTTTGAATCAATTTTTTCGATATAAATATCCATGAGTAACACCATGGGGACAGATCAATTAAACTTTTTTCAGGAAGATTGAAACAGTCAAAATAGTAGCCTGAGTAACAATTATAGTTTATCTCATTAAAAATCTCTTTGATATTAAATTAGTAAACTCAAGTTTCAAAATTGGTTAAATTGCTTTATGGTTTCACAGATGCATTTTTGTACATTATTCAATAACAAGACAATAGCTTCTCCTTAGTTTATATGAAGAACTTCATTGTCAAGCACTAAGATAGTTTTATGGGATATAAGCCTTGTTGCAAGTAGCAATTCTTAGAGCTGATCAATGGCAAAAAAGAGATGAATATAGTGAGAATTATTTTTTTCTAAATGCCATATAATTTCAAGATGTTGCAATCATGGCTCTCTATAGATTCTTTCTCTTTAATAAATGTAACTTGCCCTGGCTTATCTGGAAATATATTGAAGTGGTTTCCTATTGCCTTATCTTTGGTTTTGAATTCACTAGCTACCATCTAAAAATAGAGAGTCCAGTATACTCTTCTATTTAACCCTTAGCTGGGAAGGAAATAAAAGGATTCCTGCCTTTCCCAAGAGCATTTATGTAAAAGAGACTAGGTTGAAATTAGAACTCGGCTTGTTGATGTTACCTTCCACACTAATAACTCTTATGCTATCTGCACACACTAATCAGTGTATAATAGTCTCAGAAATAGTTGATCTGTTTCGACTATAAAAACTAAGATGAGAACACCATAAAAATGAAATATATTGGATTTATCTTTCCATTATGTTATATTGTGATTGCAACATGAAGAGGTTATATAGACTCTTTAAGAGGCTAAATTGACAACAATAAGTTTTACAGTAAGGGATAAAAGGGGGTACTGAAAAGTTCTCAGCCTGGTCCATGTTTCAAAGTCTGACAAATTATCAAAATTTAGTTGGGGGAATGATTTCTTGGTTAACCCAAGAACTGTTCAGCATCTCCTCATACATGCTGCTGGAATGAGCAAGGAAAAAAGCAATTATATTTTACATCCAGAGTGAAGAAAGCACAAAATATCTTCCCTGATTTTCTCGTCACATTTTGGTGACTTTTATGCCTAATCTACTGACTCCAAGATTTGTCATCATTTACTCTCATCATTTCCTGCCTTGATCAAATCTTTATAATTTACTATCAAATCAAACTCAATTCATTCATTACAAAAATGACAACTACTACCATTATCAATTTAATATACATCCATAATTTATGCACCTTTATTATTTAAGAAAACATTCATAGGAATAAATAACTTCTACTGAAAAAGAAATTATCAAATTGCTTGTATGATAAATTTACTACTATTTAAAAACTCAAAATTCCATATCAATGGAATTTTGAGCACTTTTAACATGTTTCCACCAACCAAATAATTGAATGATTAATTTTTTTAGCTTATATATATATCTTCATTTAAAAAAAATGAAAAATTGGATAATCAAATGAAGCTGTTTTTGTTGTTACATGCATTGCTCAAATATATTAACATTTCATTTTTGTGTCTTTATAGAGAAGATGAGCATCACCTTATAGCACAATATTGTCAAAGTCTTAATGGTGATACATCTTCAAATGTGGTAAGTATATTTACAAGTATCTATGTGTGTGCACTTTTTGAAAACATATTTCCAATTTCAAAGCCAATTTATTATAAATATGAGGGATTTTGAAAAAATCTTAGCCTGACTAAGAGGGAAATTACTTAGAAACATATATACTATATAATATTGCAACCAAGTTCTCAAAAATAGCCATAATCTGTTAGCATTGCTCCATAAAAAGGGAACACCTTTCTACAGCTTCCCTTTTTGTTTTTACTTTCAATGCCTCCTTTCATTGGCACCACAATTTAAAGTAGTATTCTGCATTAACTGTTTAGCTCTTTTGAAGACAGTCATCAAATACTTTGCATTATCGCAAGACGACACATGGCTATGACCTTTCATGCTGACTTTTTGGTCTTGAATTTCTTCAGCAATGGAGAACCTGAGTGCTAATACTGCACAGACTGACTCTCTGTAAATCATAATGAGTGATATAACCATGTTTCATTATTAACAGTGACAAGTCATTCCAAAAAATGATTACAAGATCAATGAAAATAGTGCAAAATCAACTTGGAAATGTCCACATGATATTATTTTCTAGTTAGCAGTCAAACATTTTGGCACACACTTGGCTGACAATTTCTGCATACTTAACTGCTTGTAAAACTAAATATTACTATTTGAGAATTTTTAATAGTCTAAAATTGTAGATTAACTTACAATGCGATATAATCATTTTAAAAATTTGTGGAAATTAGTTATAGCCATGTGTTTTACATTTGAAACTATCGGAATGCTTGGATTCTTTTCTATAAAGCTTTTTATCCACCTATCAGTATGAACAATTTTTGCTTGTGCCTAAACACCCAACCAACAATCCTGTGGACTAATTGGCACAAATATTACTGCTTGCTTACAAATTGATTTGTCCATAAACCAAATGTTGGCAACATTACATTGCTATACACTTTAAGAAATCATACAAAAACAGTTTTGTTTATTATATATTTGTAAATACAAATTTAAACTTTATAATGCAAAGTATACAAAAATGGCTTCAAATTTAACTCTACATTTTCTACTTTAACAAAATAAATTTTATTGATTTCATTTGTAAGATTATTTTCTGTGTTTAAATGTTAAAACACTTTTTTATTCAGAAGATTTGACATTTAATTTGAAATTTTTTAGATTTACTGTAGAAAATTTAACCAAATTTATAATTTGTTTATCTGAAGTTGAAGTATAGTATAAATTTCTTTTGACTTAATATTTTGTGCATTTTTTTTTCAAGGATTTGTTAATTTGTTTTACAGTTAAAGAGCCCTATGCAAATTATGATGGCTGTAGATGCTGAGCAACGGTCAGAACTTGAAGCCATGATTAAAGATTTGGAAGAAGAAAACAAGTAAACACTCAAAAATTTCTCTTAACTGTTCTACCTAAATTCATCTGATTTTGAAACTGCATCTAAAAAATAACAAGGAATTAGCAATGCCTTTTGTTTAATTTATGCTACATGAATGAAATATAGTCAGTGATGACTTAAAGACAGGAAACAAGATTTAAATGTCAGAATAGTGATACTATGATTGCAGGCTGTTACAACTTATAATTCAAGTAAGATAAGATCATTTTTTCTTTCATAGCCCTTATTTTAAAAATGAAGGTATTATTTTGCATAATTTGTGTTTTTAACTACTTCTGTGTAATAAGTTGTAAAATTTGAACACTTTACAATTTAGCTATAATCTTTTAAATATTTCTTATTGAAATATTTAAAATCATTTTTGTGTGACTGAAAGTGTGTTTGTTTTGCTAGAAATCTCCAGGCAGAATATGACCGGTTGTGCCAGGCTCATAATTCAAGGGAAAGCAGTCAACCACGGTCAGATGAAGAAGCTGCTGCTAATCGAGATGCTGAGATGGTTGCTGAAGCTAAATTACTAAGACAGCATAAAGGCAGACTTGAAGCTCGAATGCGCATTCTAGAAGATCACAATAGGCAACTGGAAGCCCAACTGCAGAGGTTAAGACAACTCTTAGATCAGGTAAAAAAAAAAAAAAAATACAGATGTCTTTTTGCATATCAAATATCCCTTCTAAAAATTGAATCTTCTCAAAGATATTTGAACTAATTTGATTAAACAGTTTTTTACAGGTATTTAATTGAATTTTTACTCAAAATGATATTTTAATTTTTAAAAATTATGCCTATTTTCTTAATCCAAGAAGTTTCAGAAATATTGAATTGTTTTTTTGTATTAACTCAGTCATTATTTCTGATTTTAATTTTTCTACTGCCATTATTAATAAGGTTCCTTTACATAATATTGTATGAATTCCTTATAAAAATCATATTAGCATAATATTAACTTTATTTTTTATTAAATATTCCATTTTTCCTGAAACTTGATGTAGTTAGTTTATAATCTTGAGTTGGAGATAAGACACTCATCTAAGAGACAGATTACAACCAGATACTATAACTGATTCTAATGAATATTTTGTATATGAATAAATCCTTTATTAATTTTAGAATGTTGTACAGCAATATGTTGCATTATTATCTTTATATTAATAATGTATTTTACACTGTCTTTTTTTCAGCCGCCACCTGACCGTAGTACAGTCTCTATCAATTCATCTCGAACATCACCTCTGACAACTCCATCTTCATCAGTCAGTTCCCTCCCATGTGGTCCTGTACGTTATCGTTTCACTCCTCAGATGGAACAAACAACTCCAATGTCAAATGGACGAGACCATTGTAAGTAACAACTTATTCCTGTCTATTTAATGAAATAAGCCTCAGCTCTTTAAAACATTGAGTGGAGAAATCATTGTAAAAGAAAAAAAAATTACTGTGAAATAATTTTATTTCTGTTTTTTACAAGTATTTTACTGAATTTTTTATATTTTAATCTAAAAAAATACACTTTAAAATATCTATATTTCTCATTTATTATTTGTAATAAGGCATAAAATAAATAAAAGTATTTCTACTTTTAGAAAAAAAAATAGGATAAAAAATGAAGTGTTCTTTCCTTTGTGTTTAATATTGCTTTGTAGTCATTGGTAATGTCAGTCCTCATCTATAAAAGGAGAATTTCACACCAAGTTAAAGTAGAGTGCTTAATAGTAGTTTATAAGATAGCCTGGCAATATCGTTATTTAATCTCAAATGGTGCTCTGCTGTTCTGGCCTTGTATTAAATTAAGGTAATCAAAGTCAATATCAATCCTAACACTTAGCCTAGAGATTGTGACATCCATTATTAATCAAGAAACATACCATCTTTTTCCATTGACATTTTGGATATAATTTCACTTTGTATAATTTGAATTTCTATTATTGTCCCAATTAACTGTTTGGAAGGTGCAAAATGGCAGCCTCTAATTATGGTATGAACGCAAAAATAATGGCAAGCTATTTCTTGTTTTTCCGCAATATATTTAAAATCTGTTTTAATTTAGTTACATTATATTTCCAATGAATAAAAGAAAATGCTTCTTATGGTGTAAAGCGTTCTACATTGTTCACAGTATATCTGCAAAGAAAAAAATATTCAGTTTGTGTCTCTTTTTCTTTTACTATTCAATTGTATTGATTTACAGAGTGTTATGATGCATTTTTGGTTTAGATTTCTAATCTGGCAATTCACAGGTCCCAATTTCTGATAATCAATATGTATGTTTCCAGTTGTGTTTTTAGATATTATAATACACTTTTTGTACTAAGAAAATTTATGTCCCTTGTAATTTTTTTTAAAGCTTCTGAAGGGCCAAGACATAAAAAAGAAGATGAGCCTGTTCTTGAAGTCCCCAGTCCGCCCAATTATGAACCACGATGTAAGTCAATAGATTGTTGTTTTTCTTTTAATAAAGCTTTCAAATACAAGAAGTAAATAATTTTGAACAAATCTTTTATTGCCAAAAATAGACTGAAAATGATGCATATAACAAATTAGAATATACTCAGCAAAAATTTTTTATTTCAAACAAAAAAAAAAGAAAAATCATGAAATTCTGAACAGGTAGAAGTACTTTTTATTTTTAATTTTACTTATTATTAAATTTTTGTTTAATTATTTTCTCAACATATTTTTTATCAGTGCTAATAATAATGATAATTTATTTTACCTTTTCCTTTTCTCTTTCTGAAATAATAGTAACCAACTTTAAGTTTCTTTGTTATTTTATATTTTATTTGTAAAATTAAAAATGCCAATAAACAAACTGATATATCAAAAATGTAACCACAAATAACCACTTGATCTTTAAACTCTTTTAGTCTCTTATTCAAATTTTTATGCTCTTTATATAATAAATAATGTTTTCAAATCTATTTAAAATGTATGTTCTATGTCTTTTCAGCTTCTAATAGCGTGGGCAATCTCTTTCACATGGCTGGCCAAGTAGGCAAGGCTGTAGGTACCCTGGTGACAGTTATGACTGATGAAGATGAAAATGGAGTGGAAGATGAATCAAAAAATTAAAGCAAGCAGAATCTCTACTAGCATTTTACCTGCTCAAAGACCTGCATTTATTTCATTAAATATGCAAACAGAGGCAACCCACAAAATGGGATGGTTTAGATATGAACAGTTCAGTTTTTTGTGTTTATCAAAAAGAAAATAAAAGCAAAACTAAATGAAAGAATAAGATTGGATGGAAGATGAGTCCAGAAAGAAAGAAAAGAAAAAAAATAGCAATATATTGCCATCTTTCTTTTCAGAGATTGAGTGCCATAAAAATTCTAAGCCATCCCAAAATGCAAGGTGTAACCTAGCAATTTAATTCTTTTTTTATTTTTATTTTTTTTAACAAGCATTTGAAATAAAAGAAAATCAATAAAAATAAACAAAAAATTTTAAGCCAAGTAAAGAGTCTTCCATTGCATTTAACAGATAAACTCTAGAAAGGTTTAATCTGGTTATCCTCCATTTTACAACAACATTCTACTTAAAAGAGTGACCTTGTAAATTCACAAGTCACTCAACAAAAACTTACCCATCAAACACTGCATGTATGTTGACTACAATTACTATTACTCCTGTTCCAATTCATAGATAGATACATAAATATTACTAATAAAACTAATATTGTTTACCTGTTCATTGTTCTATGAAAGGAAACTTGCAAATCTGAGCAATCAAGATTGTCAGTTATTACATCACACATGTGATCAACATTCAATTCATATTCATTGCTGACCCACATGTGACTCATAAATGTAAAACTGGCCCCCAGATCAATCTTGATTAAAAATCAAAATAGTAATGCTTAATGTTCAGTAGAATAACAAGTAAGCAAAACAACAACAAACAAAAAAGACCAACAAGTGGCTGATATATCAATGTTCAAATCAGGGAGAAATTCTGACACTTCAGAAATTTTGTGTAGATATGGAACAGTATATGGGCTTGTGTTACAGATAGGTATGCAGGTGATCAGTGCCCATCACAAATACCTGTGATTAATCTGTGACCATACAAACTTTTTTTCAAGCTAGCAGAAATCTGAATATTCTTGTTGGTTGACTTCACAACCAGGAAAAAAACAACTTTTGTAAACTGAATAATCTAACAACATTAGTCAAGATTTTTTCTGCAGTTTGTTAGAAATATACATATATATTTTTTGTCTTCATTTTTTTTTCTCCCTTTCCCTATGGTGATTAAAAGTTGTACTACCATATTCGGAATTGGTGCTACAGTTATATTAGAACTATTTACACTCTGTATATTTGGTCATATTTCATATTTTTGCTGTGTGTGTTATTTTGTACATGTTAGATCTTCATAATTATTCATTCCTGTGTACACAGGTTCGTGTCTTCTGCATGTTCAAGCAGCCTGTTGTCATGACAACTGTGAATTTACAAACCAACAAATGCCATTTGGAATGCTGACATCTATTTTTGGATATGATGTATCATATTGAAATAACCCAGTAGGCATCCCTCTTGGCAGATCTAATAATGAAATATAAATTCATGAAAGCCAAATAATTTGTAATAATCAGAATTATAATTTTTTCTTTTTTCCTATTCCCATTAGTAAAAAAGAAAACAAACAAATACAGCTTTCTTCAAATGCAGTGTGGAAATGGTTAAACTGAATTTTTCATAGAAGAAAATCTTGATTATTATAACATTAAAACTACCCTTGGAAATTTTTGTTGAATTTTAAGAAGTTTTGCTGTGATATTGTTTGTTTTCTGTACAGCCTCAAAGTAATTGAGTGTGAAAATCATTTTGAGATTGTTGCTATTTTTTCTCTTATTTTTTTTTCTTTAAATCTAAACAAACATTCCTCAATTGTTCATGCATCTCATTTATTATCCTATGATAAATATTATTTAAACTAAGAAATTAGAAATCAATTTCATTTATTTGATTTCTCCATAATATTTAAAGGTAACTCACTTGGTAAGCATTGTAAAATTTTGGATCTAATTGTTCAAATTTTTTTACAATGCTTACAACTAATAAAATTATTCCTTGCATTTAAAAATTACTATTAATAAATGAATTTTATTTTTAAATGTAAGAAAATCATATTAGAGGAAAATGGATTAAAATCTGATAGAATTATTTCACCAACAATTTTGTACTCTTCCACACTCTTTCCTTTAAAATACCATGTCTCTTCCACACCTAGGCAATCATGGTTCTCTACAACTTCCTTTTTTCTTTAATATCTGTAAATTGTGAATCAGCATTATTGTTTTTTCAAAAGGATAATGGAGTGGTTTCCTGTTTACTTCTCCAGTTTTGAATTTGCCTTCTTTTAGACTGGTTGTCCTATCAAGAGCCCAGTTTTCCCTGCTATTTAATCTATAGCTAAGGCAAGAAGGAATGGATTCATGTCTTTTCCAATGGCATTAGTGCAAATTGAACCTGGGTCTGAATTTGAACTCAGCCTGCCGATTCCATTTTCACTAACCCACCCACACATCCACCCTTCCACAAAGGTACATAAATTTACTTAAATTTCTCTCTTTACAAATAGGTTTTCTATTAAATTTCATGAAAATTTTAAAATTACATTGTAGGTGTTTTCCTTTTTCATAAATCATTTGAAACAACTTAGTTCTACATTACATTTTCCTTAAGTTGCCTTATAAACGATACAATAGAAACCGAATATATTCTAAGGGGAGATAACTTCGATAAAAATTTGTCAAGAATAAATGTTTACTTTGTGTTAATGTTAGCCAAAATAATTTGCTTTTCTTTGCTTCTTAGATTGATGTTACTGTTAAACAGTTATGTTAAACCAATGACCAAACATTTCATGTCTAAAAATGAAAAAAAATTTTCCAGGTACTAGTTTGCCAAACCCAAAGCTCCTACTGCATATAAATTGTTTCATTAACACCAGTGTTGTCAGAATACATTTATTCTCCACCAGATCAAATAAAATGATATTCAGTTTTAAAATTGTGCAACTTAAATATTATATGAAAAACCAAATTTCTTTTCTTCTCTAACGACCTAGATTATTTCAGGTGTTATAACTGGGTGTTCAAATGGTACATTATTCATTGTAGATAGATGATTCTCAAAGGAAAGTTTGTTTTTTTTGTTTTTTTTTTTTAATTTGATACTTTCATTTTTAATGAACATTGGGTTGTGAATGAAGTCCTACAGTGATTTAATCTCTAAAAAGGAAGTAAAAACTGAAATCACACTGGTATACATACAACTGCTTTGCTTTGTAATTTATACATATTTTTTCTTTTTTTATTTTAATTCTTTATCCATTTGTGTCTTAGGACAGTCTATCAATGAAGTGAGTTCCTTTAGTTATACAATGAGTTGTTGACTCCTTTATAAAAACTGAGGAGAAACAAAGAGATGTGAGTGTATTCATGCAAAAAATTGTGCCTATTGCAGGAACAGTTGTTTGTGTATAAGTGTTGATCCTTCAAGAAAAAAAGGTTAAGAGACACTAAAATGTGTCTCCTTAATAGCTATGTACATAAAATCTAATAGGTTAAAAGGCAGTGTCTTTCATTTACATTCATCTCTGCTTCATCAACTCCCTTCTCAATAGTTACCCACAAAATGTTTTTTTCTTGAATAATGGTTCTTCCTTCTAACAAATATTACTGTTTGAAATATTTCATGGAGAAGGGATATAGCAACTTCAAATGAAAGAGAGCAATACTTTTAACTGTTGAATAAAGACACATCATTCATCAAATGGAGCTGTTATAAGCTTCTTTATGCAAATTACTTGTTGCCATGACAACACAACTTGGGATTAGAAAAAAAATGGATATTTTTATGGTGTGATATTTTTACTTCACCAGTTCTGTCAATTGAGAATTATTTCTGTAACAACAGCAAAAATAATGACCTTTTAGATGCTTTATATCAAAGTTCTGTTTTTCTTGGAGAAAAAAAAATGACAACATACTTTTTACAAAATGTATGTATTCTGATAATGATTCCTTTCTTCTTGGTTCTGCAACTGATCTCTCTCTCTCTCTCTCTCACTGAAAGATATTTCAGCAAATTGACTTTTGTGTGAAATGACTCTTATTCTCTCACTAAACTTTGTGGGTGAAACAAATCTAACAAAATTTGTAAAGTTATTGGAAAGGTCATGATCACAAAGCTAGATAACAAGTCCTTGATTCAAATGATCAGCCAATAATAAAAAGTTATTTTTTAAAACTTCTATCAAAAAATGATTTAAGATTTTATATATAATTGAAATAAAATTCCAAAATAGCTTTGCTGATCTTGTTTGTATCAACACAGTATTTGATTTGGGTGGTTTTATTTATATTTTATTTTAATGACAACACAAAATATTTAACTTTGACTCCCCAGGTTTTTGGAAAAAACATGAACTTTTTTCAATTTCTAGGAAATAAAAAAAAAGTAAATTTATCAACTTCAATATGAAAATGAGCCAAACATTTATTCAGAAAATGGCTATGTTAATTTTCCTCTTCCTATTGTGAAAGTGTATTGAGATAAAACTAAAAGAATATATTACAAAGTTGATATATTTTTTCCTTTTGAGTAATAACCTTTTTAATAAACTAAGAATTTTTTAATGGCTTAGGATTTTATGTGATATATTTTTTTGTGTAATCCTAAAGTAATTGATTTTAAGGCCCGTTTTGTGATGAATCCTGTAGAAGCTAATCTGTCGAGTAGAAAGCTACAAGTAACAAATATGGGAGAAGAAAAAGAAAACTTTTACTGCAACAACTGTAGAATATCTTGGGGAAATATTTCTGAACATTTTAGTCATAACAGTTCACATAAAATTCAAGTATTTTTCTTTTTATTTAGTTATATATACACACACATGAAGATCTGTGAAAATAAACTCAAAATAAAGTGAAATCACCCTTCTTTCAAAATTGAATTCTTAGTTGTTTCTTCATTTGTGGATCATGAATGTAAAATGTATTATTATTATTATTATTTTGTGACTTTTTAAAAATGATTAACTGTTATACAATGGATTGG